TTTTCATCAGCAAAAAGTCCTGCTCAGTCTACACTGCTCATGCCTGGACTCGTGGGTTAAAAAACCCAGAATCCCCAGACCTGAACCTCCTTTTCCCCCAACACCCCCAAAATAGTTCAGGCTTTCCTTCATGTTCCCTACCTGTAGCTCCTCCCAGCTCCGCTCCTTTCCTCACCCCTCCCCAGCTCCCCAGACTCCAGTCCTCTCCAGACACCCTCAGCAGCCCAGACCATGCAGCCACAGTTGCTCCATCTTCATCCGATAATTTAGGGAACTCAGGGACATCCTGCGTCTGTCCCATCTGCAGTAGACCCACTTCACTTAGGGAAACCCACCACCTTAGAGCCCTGCTCCAACACCCATGGGCACGTACAAGCCACCATGAAGAGGATGCACCATTTTGATGGTGTTTCCAGGAGTAGGGAAGAGTTAAGGGCCTGCCATGGTGAGGGTGTTGCAGAAGGGCTGTGGGTGCAGGAGGAGTGCAGGGCGATGTCGGGAGCCCTGGCGCAAAGGGCAGACAAAACCGTGGTCAAAGGGCAGGTAAAATCATGGTTGATCCCCAGTGGGATACACTGGCTGTGGGAGAAAGGCACACTGGGGCCAGCTCTGCCTCCCCTTTGACTCTTGCTCTTTGCCTGAGGGTCAAAGGAACAGAAACAGCTATTGCTTCACCTTCACCCAAACTGAGCAGCAGATCAGCATTTTTATCTGATATCCACCCTTAGAGAGGGAGAAAATGCAAAAGGAAGACATTCAGTGTTGACTCTCTCCTATCTCTGCTTTTAACTACTTTGCTTCCATCATCCCAAATCATGCTGTGTCTTTTTGGCATGGAACAAATGGCATTTGCTGTCCCAGTTAACAAGCAGTAGCTCCAGGGCTGCCCCTTTGCTGGCATCCAGAGTGGCGCCAGACTGCACAGAGGCTGTCTGAATCCCACAGCCAGAAGTGATCCTACAAATGTGCCTGGTCCCCCATTATTTGCTGGGATAATAAGATCATCCCCAAAACTAGTTGCAGCAAACTGGTGGGGAAAGCAGCCAGCACCCAAGCCCAGAGTGGCTGGGCAGGCTGGAGAGGCAGGGACAGGGACTGGGATGGGACAGGGACACAGACAGGCCAGCCCCAGCCCCTCTAGTCTGCCTGCTCGGCCAAAACACCCCAAACTGGCTCTGCTGATTCCCAGCAGTTACATAAATGGTTACTGGGCATTTGATGTTGTCGTTTGCTTGTTGGTTTTGTTGTTTTGTTTTTGTTTTTGTTTTCACTTCCTTCCTTTTTTTTTTTCAGATTAATTTCATTCTTTTTGTCAACATTTTAAGAATCTTGATGAGAAAGCTCAGCTCTCCTGAAAGACGGAGCAGTGATTTCAACCAATACAAGTATGTCCTTTACATCGCGACTTTACGCCACGTGAGCCCACCAGAGCTCCTCTTGCTCTTTCTACACCGGCTTTCCCCTCTGTTTTCGTTCTCAGGAGACTTGCAAAGTCAACACTCCTCCTCATTCCTCTCTTTGGAGTCCACTACATCATCTTTGCTTTTTTCCCCGAAGACGCAAGCAACGGCACAATGGAAATTCAGCTGTTTTTCGAATTGGCTCTTGGATCATTCCAGGTAATATTTGACAAGCTATTGTTTCTTCAAAATAAGAAAAAGAGGTATAATGTGTAACTCTGCAACAGCGCACAGTTCCAATGGCAAAACCAAGCTGTCTGATTTCCCTTGAGATGTTTCATCCCCGCTCGAAAGCTGAAACTGCAGTTCTAATTCTGTGACCATGGTTCTTTTATCTTCTAGGGCTTTGTTGTGGCAGTACTTTATTGTTTTCTTAATGGTGAGGTGAGTTTTGTATATATAACATTCTTTTTTATTGCTCGAGCATGCCTCATTTATCAGTAGGATATATTCTCCAATGAACTACATGTTTTATCTGAGGGTTTTCTGCTCAGCTACCTAACGTCACTTGTGAAATACCTCCTAGACCTGGCAAGCCTGAGTAATTGTATGCCAGATGCAAACTTTTCCTCTCAACTATTGCAGCCCTTTCATAAATCAGATGATGGCATTATTACTGTCTGGGAACGGAGGGTGGGAGTACCATCCCGCACACGGGCACACTGACAATCAACTGGCTCTGACGTATGGTGACTATCTGTCATCCCATGGATGTTTTCTTTGCTTAATCTTTGGGAGGCAATTTATCAAAAGCTGTATCCAGTCCAAATTTATTAGGACTCTCATAATGTGAAGCTTTTGGAAGAGGGACCATTTCCTTTGTAGTCACATGATAATTCCCAGGCTTCTGGGCTAGAACTTGCACTCTGAAATGCTGCTGCTGGTAGAGGTGAAGGGAAACATTATCCAAACCTGGGAGGTTATTGGAAGGAAAAAAAAACATTAATGCCTAAGATTGAAAGAAAAAGTCATTTTGAAATGGAGGAGGGCTTTGAAATACTTTGACTGAACCTTTAACAAGGTTCAGAAAAAGTTGTTTTGAAAAGACAATCTGCGTTTCTTTACCTTACAGTGCCAAAATGTCCTATTTTTATAATTAAAATTAAAATAGTGGGAAAATCTAAACCAAACACTTACTAAGGCCAGCTAGACTCTGTGAACAGTTTCACCTCCAATTAAACAGAAAAACAGGTTAGCAGAAAATTGTGTGGCTGCAGAAACAGGCCCTACCCTAACCCCTTAAACTAGGGGTTAAATAAATAAATCCAAATCTTGGCAAAGGTAACCCACTCTCCTTTTCCTGTTATACTGCTCTCCGCAATGTAGGGCTCCAAGATAAACTAGCTGAACTAAGTATTTTGTGACCTTTCTACCTAGGTTCAGCTGGAAGTTCAGAGAAAATGGAGGCAGTGGCATTTAAGCAAACACTTGCGTCAGCATCTCAGCACCTCGGCGAGTAACGGAGGAAGTGGCTTAACTCAAGAGATGCAGATGGTGAGGTTGAGCCCACCAGAGCACAAGAGAGCAACCCTCCAAAGATCAAGCGTGCTTTAACAGCATACACCTGGAGGATACCTCCATGCTCAGATACACGTGGTTAAGTCCCATGGACCGTGCTGGGAGTCTTGTGAACGTATCCAAAAGCGGGACTTGGCTGTAGATCAACAGTTCTTGAAGCACATCTGTTCATCTATATCCTGTGTAGCACCAGAGTTATTTTGCAAGGCAAAAGGGGCCAAAAGATTATGCTTTTCCTTGGGTTTCTGACCACAGTAGTTTGTGTTTCTTTCCACACCAATATTTTTCAGCTGCTGTTTCTACCTTAAATGTGATCTTTCATTTTCCATGTGGCTCTCCAGCACATTCCAGGCTAAGCCAGGCTGGTGAGTCTTAGATGTTCTTTATTTCTTCTGCTGTTGAAGCTGGGAGGACATTTGATTTTGTACAATGAAGGTTAGGTATCATCCTTTAACACAGCCCATGGGTTTGAAATGCAAAATTAATCCATCCTTAAAATTTACCAAGATTCAAAGTCTTTCTGTTGTGATAATGGATGATGGACACTGAGAACACGAAGCACAGCTGAGCTCCTGTTTCCTCTGTGACTGCATACCTGTTGCTCAGGTATGCTCCAGTGACAGTGGCAGGTTCAGACAGTTTTCTTCCTTTGCCTTTTCTAACAGTGGAGACCTCGGAAATAACAGTGGTCCAATTTAGATGTTCGTATCTTTTTGAAATGGTAAAAAAGCTATTATAGTATATTCCAAGGGTGGCCAAGAAAACTTCAGTAAGATGGCTCTTTCCTATTGTGTTTGTACCTCTGAGGCTTGTCCAGCTAATCTTTGAAGGGACGCAATGAAAGCCTTGAGACATTTAAAACTCAATTGAACTGGACAGTACAAGGTATCTTGTGAAAAACAACACCGTAGTGGCTGGCAAAAATGTCTTTAGAGTCTACGATCACTCAGCGTGCTGAAACCTGCAGGACTGCACACTGTAATACACTGTCACAAGGTACCTGAGCTTCTATTACAGCTTTATGTTCTTAAGGATAAAATTGTTAAGCAAATTTCCCTGGTTTGAGTGGGAAAGGGATAAAAGAATTTATCCGACAAATGCAATCAAGACTCCTACTGATTTTGTATCTCCCTTTCCCCAGTTGGGGCAATTTTTGCCTGGTATTCTTCAAGGGCAAAGATGACTAAACAGAAAGCAAGTGGTGTTTATCACACTTCTCCCTCCTCCCGATCACCTGCAAGACATTGGCCAAACGTGCATGGTATGTCAAATGCTGACCGAGCAGCATTCCCCAACCAGGCTGCCAGCACTGCTCTAACAAGCTTTTATTCACAGCAAACCCTCATGGTAGACTTCTGCCATTTTACCAGAAGGCAAACACACAGAGAAATTCAAAGGGTGCTTTCAAAGTTAAATTACCTGTCTAGAAGCAGTTTTTTGAGTGTTATTAGCACTGTTTCAAAAGCTGAGATTCAGGAATTTTTTTTTTTCTCTGCGGGTGTCAACAGAGCACACAGCCTGTACCATCCTTGGTGCAGCAGGCATTGCAGGCAGCAGCACCACTGATGCAGCCAAGTGAGGAAGGGCACCTTGGCAGGAGGCTCAATCCGGCCTCCCCTGCTCGGTCGGCTTTGCCTGCTGATGCAGGTCACCCAGCAGTGGGAGAGTTGAACCTCTTTAAATCCATGGGGGGGAAAAAAAATAATCAAATACAAAGCAGTGAACTGGCAAGGGTTTCCAGGAATTAATTTTAAACTTACACTTTTTGAAATGACAAGGTTTTGAGTTGACTTTATCCTTTAAATCTCAGCCAAAGCAAGTGGAAGGAAGAGTGGAGGCAGGGTCAGTCCCATGACCAAAGTGAAAGCCCCTCCATGCATGTTTGGGTGAAAGATCTCACTTCTTGCTGACTTACCCAAAACTAGCAGAGCCTCCAGCCTTCTCGGGGGTTCACTCTGTCATAGCACATTTATCAAGTCAGATACTTTCAAAAAGATACGAATGCTCGCCAAATTTTTTCTCTGGCCTACAAATAACAACAAGAAGAGTCAAAAAACTTGTATGTTCCCTGTCTGAGAATTAAACATTTATCAGTGGAGCCAAAGCAGCTGTTTGTTTTAAATGCAAGTGCCTTCTTCTGGTATAAATGAAGAAATACAGATTCAGAGATATAATAACATGTAATTAATTAGATCTGATGCAACTATTCGTTCTCCCAGTGTAAGAGCTCAACTCTACAGTGCGTAGGCTGAGCACAAATGGCACAAGGTCGGGTGGAGCCCAGGCTGAGCGTGATACCTATTTGTACAGGAGTCCTGGTGAAACAGGGGCGAACAACATGCTCTTCTTTGTATTTAAAAAAATTTCTAGCATAAGCTACTGTTTTACATGGCCATTTTGGTTTTTTTTTTACTTGCCTGAAGCAACAAAAAAAAAAAAGCATTCCCAGGTTCTGTATTGCATGTTTGCTTCAGGCATCAAGTGCTGGCCTGGTTTGTATGAAGAGCTGAGGCTCCGTAAAAACCCTTGGATGTCAGCTGGCATTCGGAGCTCTCGGCAATTTGGGAAGAGCAAGTCCACTCAGGCAGGTGCCAGAAGCAGGTGGCCCCAGGCATTGTGATGCTGTCACTTGGATGTAGAGAGCTGCTGCTGAACACCACCATAATGGGATGGGTTCTCACCTCACCCATCTTCTGCACAGGTGATGCAAAAGCACCCTTCCCTGCTGGGGTTCTCTCTTGATTAACTGTACTGAAGAAAAGAGCTACTTAGATCTGGGAATGCTGACATGTTTATAAGCAGAAGAGGAGAAACAGGGAAGCATATCTCAGCAAGCGATGCAAAAAGCTGGAGATGGATGGATGCAAGGCATCCAGACACCAGCATCAGTGCCCTGAAACTACTGACACAGGCTGAATACAAACTCCATATTCAGAGTTCACCAACTTCCCTTACCCTATACTTGCTCCTCGTTATTCAATGTAAAGCAGGTGTTTGTTGTACCATTTTTCAGACAAGTAGTTATCACTGTTCAGGGACACTGGTGACAGCCTCTGGCTATTCACTCCAGGTCCCCTGAGAAGCCAGTTGCAGCTCTGCAAGCCAGCGGTGCAGGCAGCAGCTCCTGCAGCCTGAATACCAGTGGTCTGAGACCCAAGCCTGAGTTTAAGAGGAAGTGATTAATGGATTTTCTCTCCCAATACAGCAACAAGGAAGTTCCCAGCAAAACCGTCAGAAGCGAAAAGCAGTTATTGTTGTGCAGTGAATAATTACATTGTGCAACACTTCGCTTCGCTGGGCATCGGGGGAGCTGAAATGAACAGTTTGATAACGGGGTGGTGCCAACTCAGAGGAGTTGAATCCACATGAAGGTGCGAGGCCCCAGGAATCCAGCCAACACCCCTACCAGAACACCCCCAAGGCAGACCTTTCTTTCACCCAGAAACAAGGCCCTTCTTACGTGTGCAAGATGATACAGGAAGTTTAGAAAAGGTACTGTAGACTTGAAATCAAAATACCAGTTAACAGTCCAGGATATCTCCCCAGCTAGCATGCCCTGTACTGTTATTTCCTTATTCTTATTCACCAGCAGTGGTTTGCACACAAATTTCCAATTAAAGTTAGTAACTAAGCAAGTCTAAACAGCTCATTAACAAGAGGTGATGTTTATTACCGTGCTTTTAAGAGATATTAAACCATCTGAGACAGGCCAATGACCTCTCCCATCAGAAAGAGAACACCAGGTGCTAATTAACTTACTTGAGATTACGTAAACTAATTCAGTGGTGAGGCTGGAAATCTGTTTTCCTGACATATAAACTAAACCTTTTAGTACAGTGAGCTCAGGGAAAAAACTATGTAAATACATTTGTACTCAGATACCACTTCTGTAGGCCAAATAAGCAAAGCTAGAGAAAAGAGCAAGGATGCTTCATACACAGGGTGCGGTGTGGGAAAAGGGAGGTGAAGGACACGGGAAAGAGCTCTTTAGCTGGTAAACAGAGCACATGCAACAGCAGGAAATCATTAGGAGCCTACAAGGTTATCTCTAATTCCCAAGAAGCAGCACAGCTGACTGCCCCTCTTGTCTTGCAAAACAAGAAAGCTCGCTGGCTGCTGGGGTTGGTGTGAACATGTTGGAGGGAAAAAAAAAAGCGCACAGCAGCTACGCAGCCTCAGCTCCCTTGGTCGTAGCTTGGCAAAATGCCAAGCAGTCGTTTCTTCCTTGGTCTAGCTGGGTAAACACACAGAACTGGCACCTGGGAGATTACATAAAGCCCACTCATCCCCTTAAATCTGCACCCCAATATCTAAATATAAAAAGAGAGAATGACAGTTATCTTAAAAGAAATTTATTTAACAAACTCTAGCAATATTGCTTGACACTTCCACAGGCTTCAGAAAATGAACAGTTACCCATTGCTGCACAAGTTGCTGTATATAAGGATGTCTCCGAGACAATCAACCTTGCTTTGTAGTATTTAGCCATCAAATTAGTAAGTCAAGCAGTATTACACAAAGCCAGTTGGAAAAAAAAGTTACTGTATTTTTCCTAGAAGATTCCCTAACCCTAATAAAAGGCCTCTTCTTCAGCTAGCAGAGGGCATCCTAAAAATCATTCACAATTGCACCAAGTCTTGGGTGAACTCAATGGCTGCCCACTGCCTCCCTCTAACCCGAGTGGGAGGCACCAGCCTGGGATTCAGTCTGGCTATGGCTGCCTTCCCCCAGGAAGGGGCTGGGGGCACAGCCTCCCACTAGCATGAAGGGGAGTATACACAAAATTGACTTTCAGTTTTGGATGTCATCAAGAAGGCACTCTGAAGTTACATCCATGTTTCTAGTCAAGCCATGGACACCCTCGACCTCATGTAGGGGAACTGTCTTGCCTGGCATGGGCACCCCTAGGCACCACAACTGAGTAATCGGTTAGTTAAGGCACTCTACCACCTGGTAACACGAAAGTGCAACAGTTTTGGACCAGACCTTGCAGACCCTCTCTGGGGTAGGTAGCTCTGCTAAAGCCAACAGCGCTGTTCACACAAATATCTCAAGTTGAGCCCACTAGCATGTCTTCAACAGTGCAATTCAGCAAATTAAAAGCACCCTCACAAAGACATGCAGTTTTCCAGAGGCAGGGTAAGGGCACAAATCCTTGTCCTTGAGAGAGGGTCAATAAATCCTGAGAGAGTTGCGAACATTGCAAGAGCTTCAGGAGTTGTCTGGGTAGTACAGTTCCACGCATTATCTCACCACAAAGATGAGAAGACTCATATGCAAAGGCACAACTGGCACTGTCCAGAGCATGCCTGGTCTGAAACTGCATCGCAAACCAGGGTTAGGAGTGTTACCTTGAAACATTATGGAAATCTGAGAAGGAATGGAGACTGTCCTCAGAAAGGCAAGCGAGCCCACAGGAGCACATTCAGCAAGTGTGGATGTATGCTCAGGTGGGACTTATGACTCTTGGCTTTCAAGCACAAAGCTGTTTACTCGTGGCTCACCTACAAAGCCTTCGGCCTTTGTCCTATGATGCTTTCATTTGAGGTGAAAAATTGTATCGCACTTGCTGCACAGGAAATTAAATCCTTGCTCAACAGTTATCAGACAAGCTACAGAGGTGAAACACGCAGAAACCTTTGTTCTAAAATGAAGATACACGCAGTTTTACCAGCTGATACGAAACAAACATTAAAACGGAGTCCCTGAAATACTCTGAAGGCATTTTTATCCGGAGGCAACGGAGTGCTGTACGTCGGACAGAGAGGACACATGTGAGGCAACCAACCTGCTAGGTGTCCTGCTGAGATCTTCTGTCCTTTTACATCAGACAGCATAGGGAACTTCAAAGCTGCAGCACTTGTAGAGATCTTGACTCAGGCATTGGCAGAAGGAAGATCAACCTTAATATAATTTTGGCGAAATCTCTTTGGATTTCCATCTGCTGCAACAGATTAGAGCTGCCCCCCATCAACCCCTTCTTAGGCAAACTTGGGCTTCTTCTCCTCCCAGGCCCACAGTTAATCAGGGGATGAGAAGGACTTGGTCTAGTCAGGAAGACTATAGTCAGGAGGACTATAGAGGAAAGTGCCATAGAACTTTCTCCTCCCAGAAGAAATGCTACAGGATGAGATTTCCCATTGC